AAAGAAGGAGGAGAAACGTAGAGTACCATGTAAGGTACAGAGGCAATAAGACGGGGTTCTGGAGGAGTGTAGCTCGATGAATCAATCGAAGATTCGGTACGGCATATTCAACTCGCCAATGCGAGTTAAACTTATCTTCATTTTTTATTATAGATATTCAAAAATGAGTTATGCCGGTCTAGAGCATAAGCTATATCATTTTTTTTTCGCTCCTTTAATCTAGTCAAAAGCTGTCTCTGATATTTTTCCTTTCCGAAGAAGCATGGCTCTGAGAAAATTTTTTGAATTGAACTTTTCTATACGTAATATAAAATTAGTACATTTTAATAGTCTTGACTATACTGTTGTAAAAACAATATGGCAAAAGTAGCTACAGATTTCATGAAATGCCATAAATGGACCTTCGAAACTCCATTATTCGAACTAGCTCAATACACAGAGGAAATTAGCAAAAGTTTAAAGGATGATCGCAAGGTAAGATCCAATGCCAAAACATGTTTTTGACAATTAGGGTTTACTAAGGAACAAGTAGAAGTTCTCATTCCTATTCGACCTTCTGGAAAGCGTGAAGAAGGCAGGGATACTGTTGATAAAATTGCCCAAGAAATTGTGAAAAAGGATTATCCGTCTGAGAAAATAAAACAAATTTCATATGATTTGGGAAGTTCTGCACCTAATTCAGTTGCAGGAAGTTCCCGGCTTACTTTATTGCGAAAAAAGTTACGGAATTATGGAGCTGATCATTCCAAAAAAGAAGCGACCAAAATTCCTCATATTACTACTGAATCAAATAAAATTCAAGCACATCGACTTGTACTTGATAAATTTGAAGGTGTCGACTAGCCTGAACACTTCTTCTTAGAACCGGTTCAAGAAAGACTCGATAAATTTAATATTTCCTTGTCTCCTTCTAAGGAAAATCTGGTTGATGTAATGATAATGTTATGCATGCAACCAGCAGATGTCACCGGTCTTTGTATTGATAATTATGAAGCATTAGACGAGACTTGGGGTTCTAAAAAGACCTGGTATAATCCTAAATATTCCTGGTATTGTACTGGCTACTCTAAAGTCAAAGAAGAAACAGGAGTGGGGGAACCTCAGCCTTTCGTTTCAATGAAAAAAAATCCGCTATGAGCAAAAGATTTGCTTACTTGGATTTAAAAAGCAATACCAGAAAAATTTCCCTTCTTACAAAAAAACAAAGCGGTATAGTTAATGTAAATCTAATTAATCTTGCTTTAGCTCAACATGGGATTACTTCGAGTAAATTGAGAAAGATAGGTGCAGATCATGCTAGCAGGATCCATGAAGGTAGGAACGATTCTCATCGCCAATATTTACGAAAGTTGGCTTGCAGACAAGTAGTAGGTTGTCATGAATCAGTAGAAAGTTACGGCGTAATGAATGACCCACTTTCTTGCAATTGTTCGAAGGCATCCCTAAAGAATCAGGTAAAGATAAAAGAAAAAGTGGATTAATCCTGATAATGATTTGTATATGTCTGTCCGATTAAGCAAACCCATTCATGCTCTTCGATAAAAACTAATCACATATATGGGTTAGAGGGTCGGGATATCAATGTGCGTAATTTTATTTTTTTGTTCGAGGCAAGATCTAGCATATAGAATATATTACGAAAATGGTAGCCAATCAAAAGCATTCATCTGATGCATCCAGAGAGCAAGAAGTTACCAGATATACGAAGATATTAGCCCAGATGTTCGGACTAAACGAGCAAAATGCAGAAGTATATAGTACGCTTTCCGGTGAAAATAGAGCACTAAAGAAACAATTAGAAGACTATCATTCCCAATACAACACTTTAGAAAAGAGGGTAAAAAGATTAGAGAGATGTAAAGTCCTTAGAGACTGAAATAAAAGATCTGGATGAATGTGTAGATAAGGGAAACTGTGGTCAACTTAATACAAGAAATAGTTTCTTCGATAATTGATAAAAAAGGTAAGGGTTCTTCCTATTTGTCTAAATCTTCCGAAGAATCTGATTCGGTTAAGACAATTGTAATAAGAGAAAACGAGGCTATCCCTCATAAGCAATGAAGGAAGGCACGACCAAAAAAGGTTAAACAGTTGGTGGTTTAAAATGGGCCTCGCCAGCTCAGAAAATTTATCTGAATTCATCCATTCTTACTGCCCAAGTGGTAATGAGTAATACCCGCCTATTTCGAGATCAGGAAATAACATGTCTATTATTTTTTGACTAATTCTATAGCAATTTTTCAAGCCAAGATATTCTAGAGCATGCAAGTGGTCTGCAATAATTTTGAGAGTTGTACAGGAAATAGACAGAGCATATCCTAGATCAAGATATATGATATTAGGACACATTTTTGCGATTTTGGAAATTGACAAGTCAGAAATAATATGTTGAACTCCATAAAGGTCAAGATGTTTTAGATTATGGCATGATAGAGCTATTTCTTCTATAGCTCTGTCTGTAATATTGCAAGATTGAAGATTAAGATATTGGATATTTGAGCACGATCTCGCAATAATGCGCATTGATTTATCAGTAAGGGCACTCATACCATAGAGGTTGAGATGTTCCAAACAATGGAATTGTGCGATTTTTCTGATGGCTATATCACTTATTCCATCACAGTGCGCGAGTTTTAAACTTTTCAGATTTGGGTATGAATCCGTAAGGGTGTGAATAGCAGTATCGGTAAGTCTACTACAAGAACTGATATCTAGGGATTGGAGATTAGGAAGGGATCGTGCGATTTCATATATAATGCTGTCAGTGACATGTTTCCAAGATGAACTAATTCCTAGATGTTTTAACCCATTGCATGACTGTGCTATTTCACAGAATGATTTACCGGTAATATCTCCGCCAAAACCAATATCTAAAAACTGCAATTTATCACATTTCTTTGCGATTTTAGTAATAGAATGATCAGTTAAGCCCCCATTGTTAGAAACGTTAAGATGGATCAGATTGGAATATACTTGAGAAATCTTGATTAAGGCCGTATCATCAAAACCCGTACTTCGCTCAAAATCTAAATGGATTATGTTTGGGAATACTTTGACTATTTTTTCGATTATCTCATTCGAAAGATAAGAAAGGTGCGTAATTATGAGGCACTGCACACTATGTCTAAAAATCGGTCTAGAGTTTATACGTATCATTTTTATAAACTTTTCCTGTTGTTTCTCACCAATCAATTCGATACGACCCCATAAAATTGGACCAGTGCACCTAGACCAAAGTCTAGAGACCAGCAAAGTTGGATATAGTGCGTTATCTTTAGCTAAGAAATTAAAAACATTCTTTAGTAATTCAGGAAGAGCAAGCGTCATATTTTTTATCAAGGTATACTTATTTCAATAATTTCTTATTATGCATTTCCGAAACTTGGTTATTACATCAAGTCTAATATCTTCAAGCCTGAGCTGGAGATTACCAGCTCGGAAGATTTTTCGTTTAAATATGAAGTATATAATATACACTATTTATGGCGCAATCAAGCATCTTTTATTTACCAGAACTATTAGAACAGATTTTACATTTTTTAGCAATAGATAAATCTCTCTATCCTGTTCTATTTGTTTCTTGATTGTAATACAGATGTGCCATTCCTAGCTTATGGAAATATATCGAACTAAAGGGGAATAACCTGAAATGTTACCATTATTTTCCAGACGATTATACCTATCAAGAGAGAGACTGTACTCGTTTAGAAAGATTTGTAAAAATAATATGCGAAAAGTATAAGCCAGCTTATGTCTCGAATGTAACTCATCTAGAAATTACTTATTACCATTCGCTTTCGGATAGAAAAATAAAAAATATTGTGGATACATTCCCGAATATAATTCATTTAAATTTCAAAAAAAGTATAGGTTTTGGTGATAGATCACTATTTATAATAGCGGAATTGTATCCTAATTTGAGATATCTCAATCTGTGAAATGTCAAAGAAATAACTAATAAAGGTATATATGCGATCGTAAGATCATACCGTAAATTAGAATATCTAAATATTTCCTACTCCAGAAATATTACCGATAAATCTTTGTTTGTAATTGCAGATAATTGCCATGATTTGCAAGAGTTCCATTTTGCCGAAGCACGTCAGATCACAGATAAATCTATAAGTTGCATCTTAAACTTATGCCCAAATTTACAAATTTTGATATTTCATATAGTAGGGGGGATGTCAAAGATACTAGTACTTTGATGCGAAGACACTTCAAAATAGAGTATCTTGAGTTTAGTGGGGCTATGGCTTTGTGGAATGATAAATTGATTATAGCCATCATCAAAGGATCTTCAAATTTAAGACACTTAGAAATCGATGGTAATGATATCACTGATAGAGTTATTGAAGCACTGGCCCATTCTTGTCATAAATTAGAATATCTTGATTTAAGTAGTTGTACATTCATTAGTGAATTATCAATCTGCAATATTATTCGCTCCTACTCGAAGATTTAGCATCTTAGCCTTGGATATTGCAATATTACCAGTACGATTATCAAAGAAATTGCTCACTCATATTTCAATTTAAAATTTCTAGATTTGGAAGGATATGAAAATATTAGCAAAAAAGCCATGGACTAGCTAAATCCAAATATTCATATCGATTTTGATGAAGATTATTGTTCTGATTCAGAATCTTCTAGCTCTGAAACTGAATCAGAGTCTGAATAATCTAGCTAGTCCAGAGCAGTGATCACTTCATACTATAGCTAATTTTATGTATTGTAGGCTGAGTTCTGGCAACGTTTCTTATTTTTTAAAATAAAGCATATATTATGTTCTTATCATAAATCTCTCCAATTAGCAAGAGGATTAGGATCGAAAAAATTATTAAAAAATAATATGTATCATGGGTTAGGTCCCGAACTTTGTATTTATTTTTGCATGTATTAATAAAGCGATTTTACATTTGCCACGTAACATTGAATAATTCTTTTATGTATGAAGATATTATCTATCATGTCATCTGATCTTGAAGTATTGATCATTGAACTTGAGGCTAAGAAAACTGATGAGAAAGCTAAGCTTGAAACACTTGAGGCTAGAATTTTAAAACTAGAGCATGATCAGGCAGAAAGAGAGGCTAGATTTTTAAAACTAGAGCAGGATCAGGCAGAAAGAGAGGCTAAGAAAAATCAGAAATTTCAGACTAGATGTATCCAGATAGCTAAGGAAATTCTTAATGATGAACTTATCATCAAATATTGCCTGCCTTTCTTGAATGGATTAGAGCTTGATGCCTTCTTCCAAAAATATCGAATTGCATTGGAGGTGCAAGGAGCTTAGTATCGGCTTCATAGCACTAGCTGGTATAAGGATGTTAAAAAACTCGAAAACATCGTTAATCGTGATCAGCTAAAAAGGTACATATGTCAAGATAATGGAATTTTTCTTATTGAGGTATGGTATGATGAAAAACTGGAAATTGTCATTCCAGAAAGAATACAGAAAATTGAGGAGTTCATTACTCAAGCATCCAAAAGGTTCGATTTCTTATAATCAATAACCTATTGTTTTTTTCGCATATTTTAAATTTCAAATTAACAGTCACAACTTACTACTAGTTCTTATAACTCTTCATATGATCATACATTAAGAGGCCTAAATTCGTAAATCACATGTATAGTGCGTCAAAAAAGAAATCTGATTGAGTGATCGTCATGTATAAAATTAAACCAGACACGTCTATACGCGTTGTTCTATCTATTATTTTTTTTTTTGTTAAATATGTTGTCTGATAAAATCTTGGATGAAGTTCGTTATGCTAATTACTGGAAAAGGCCTCTTACGGAATGGGGAATAGAAACGTGGGATAAATTTTTCTTTGAAGAAATTCAAAAGTCAATAAAAAAGTCGCATCAGGCTTTTGAGAGTGAGCTGAAAATTTTGTTGAAAATAATAGATCGGAAATCAAGAGAAGGACAGAAAGTGATATCAATAAAAAAGGATTTTAAAAAGGTTAGTATTTTTCACATTCTCAAGGTTGTGAAAGTATTAACAAGTATAGCAATTGTGCTACGTCCCGTTTCTGTGAGTATGGGGAAGAAGAGTGTCCAGACTGTGAGTGTATTCTTACCTCTGCGACGTGTACAATTTGCTATGAGGTTCTTTGATTAAGGTCTGCTGATTCTGGAGGAGGAATCGGCTATGTACCTTCCTTATGTTAAGGATCTTTCTCATACACTCCCTTTGCATACTATACAGAATTCCAAGAAAAAGAAGAGGAAGAAGGAGAATATAATTCCTATCGTTGGTAAAATGTCACATTTTCAACATAGTCGTTTCATTCTCATTTTTGAGCTTTTGCTGTGCCATACTTATTATTACTAATCTTGTTTAACTTATTTCTTATAGTCCCAAGTATTCCAAAAGGTATAGCTCTAATTTCTTCATTTTTTTTTATGCAGTTTTTTCATTACAATATTTCATTATCTTAGATATAACCACTGAAATAATAAAACTATTAGTTCAGTGTCCTGGCCAACTTCCTAAAAGGTCCAATATAGTAGATTTCCTTAATGAAAACCCTCCTGTAAAAATACCGTTTGCCTCTATTCATTTTTTCCAACTTAAAACTGGAGGTTTAGATTGCATAACTGAGGAAGAACGAAATATATATTTTGTACCAAATGCTAAAGAGGAATATACATCACTTTTTTCAAACTTTTAGGACAATTAATTTACCCTCCCTCGTATGGAAAAAATGAAGATTCCTATCATGGTCTGTGGGATAGTATTATTAAAAATACGATAGAGGTATTTGGAAAACATAATGCTAGCTTGCCATTATTGGAATTTGATCGTAATACTAGCAAAAAAACCACAACTGGTAAAGTTAATTAAATGGTAGTGGTTGATCAATATGATATGTATTAAAATATTGTATTCATAGGTTGCAACCACCCAGATATGGTTGTGAAAGTAAGAAATATTTGTCTTTTTCGAGGTGAAGAAAAGTGCCCAGAAGGCGTGGGAGATCCTTCGAAAGAGTTAACCGAAAAAATCAAAGGTTGGAAATATGGAGATGCGCCATACATTTTCGGATATTATGCTATTGAAACTTTTATTACATTTGTCACAATGCACAAGCCTATAACTAAATCAAATAATAAGAGAAAGCAAAGTGTTTATTCTAAGCGAATTGCAAAGTTTGATTTGGGACGTTTGTCTGATAGAATTCGCATTATAAATTTTCTTCGAAATGTCTGTGAGTGCTTTTTTTTAACTTTTATAAAAATTTTTCTTATGAAATTCTAATTTATACTATTGTTATTTAGGTCGAATATTACCTATTATAGCGAATCTATGCCTTCAAAGAGATTAAAGTTGATATATGTGTTGGAATTTAGTAAGTTTTAGTGCAGATTTACGTAATAACTTTCCAAGTAAACGACCAACTGTTTCAAATGCTCTCAAGAAATGTTTAGAAAGGTAATTGTTTGTAATCGGTTTATTTCTTAGTTTTTTTTTAATTTGTAATAAAGACTAAACTTTTAGTGATTTACAAATTTAAATCCTTTGCCCAAAAAAATCAATTCGTTTTTAGTTAACAACCTGCTCGATACCTTCTGAAAAAGATCGTTGAAATACGTAATGGACATCAACTTCCGCCTAGGAGAATTATCACATACTTTAGTACTAGATTATCTTATAAGTTTATTTTTTTCACTGAAATTTACTTAGAGAAGAAAATGTTAAACTTGTGGCTAAGATCGTCAAGCTTGAGGCTAGGAATGTCTCGTAAATAAAAAATATTAAATACTACATATGATCTCTTGACCAGTAATAATAAAATTATATATGCTACTTTTTGATCGCCAAGCTAATACATTCTAATACAGGGTAATTTGCAGGTCAGGATCGGCTAATTAATGAATAGTAGATCACTGACGAAGATCTAGGGACCTTCATGTTTTGGGACGATCATAGTGATCATTTTTTATTATAAAACAGTTGGGTGATTCGAACATGTTTCTATTAAAAATAATTCTGTAATTTGCCCGCCTGTCCAAAAAATCAAATAAGTGTAATACAGCTCTAATACTATGTCACCATTGGATTTTTTTCTACTAGCACTTTTTGTAGTTATAGTAATAATCTATGAGATGCTATCCCGAGATATTATAATAATAGAGACACTCAAAACAGTTTTTTCAGGAAATTCAGAAAGTGCAGTCTATTATATTAAGTACTGCTATATATTTTTACGCTTATAATGATTATGTATAAGAAATAGCAAATCACATTAATGTATGCAATTTGGGTGAGTTATTTGGCTATAGCTACATTTAGGAATATTTTTTGGAAGAGTTTTATGTATTTGGTATATATATTGCTATTCTAAAAAATTATAGCATTCTTTTAGGTAAAAATTATGCTCTTTTTATTTACATACATCTCTTGTCTTAAGTACTTTCAGCAAGAATTTAGGATTAGAATAATAGCTAGTTAGGTAATAATATATATCACATAATATAATATTTTTCGATTCTTTGAGCTTTATTAGGATTTATTTGGATTGTAGGAACTCTTACTTCTTTACTCATCCTTTTCTCATTTCTCAAAAAGATAGAACTATCTATAAAAAAGAAGATAAAACAGTGCTGATATCTGAAAATAAAGTATATGAGAGTTAGATACAATTCTTAAAATGTGATTTATATTCATAGTGAGCTAGAGATATCTCAATTATATAAAATAAAAGAGATCTTAGAGTAGAAGATATCTAATCTTAAAAGTCAGATAATGGCATTAGAGATAAAAATCCATAATCTGAAAATGATTGCAAAATGTAGATTGTTATTTATAACTTTTTGAGAAGATCAGATATCAGAAGGATTATTTAAAAGATATTTTGGTTAAAAAATAGGATTAGTGATTTTATCATAACTTCATCGAGTAATATATCTGGTCCTAGAGGGTCCCTTTAATACTATTAACAAGAGATTCTTTATCATCCTTATCGTTCTCATCATCATTGGATAATAATCAATCTTTATCAAGCAATATAACTTCTAACTTATCAGGTACATCAGGAATACAAGACTATACATATAGAATAGATGAATATGAAAAAATTAATTATCATGCTACTATCTAAGTAAACTGTTTAAAGCAAGTAAGAAATACTGCTGATAATAAAATAAATTTACACAGAATTCGAAGTTGATTAAAAAATCTTAAAAACAATCTTTTACAAGCTGAAAGAATAATAGCTGAGCGTGATAGAGAATTACAAGATATCCAGAATGCTTTAGAAGACATAGAAACCCTAAATAGAATATTACAAGAGGATCTTACTAGAATAATAGAAAACCTCAATTACTTTCTAGTGATTTCTCTAGTGAGAGAGTTTCTATTGGAACTTTATAAGAAGAATTCAACTGATCTATTAGGCATCATCATAATTTAAGTGAGCAACTTGATGAGGATTTATTGACTAGTATTCTATCTTTAATACTACTTCTAGTAGAGCCAGAAGAAATCTTATCTTCCTAAGAGGTTCATCAATTATTAGAGAAAAAGCATGAGAAACTTTAAAGGCTATAGGCCTTGCTAATACTACAGAAAAATGAGTTCAAGAATTGACACAAGTTATATATAGTAGAAGTTCTTCTCCTCCTCCTAAAATGTCAAGTTCTTCTTAAGAATTTGATGATGAGATTTTATGTAATTTAGGTGATAATACTAATGTTTCAGAAGATTCTATGCCCAATTTTCCATCTTATGATGAAGATATAGGAGCTATTAATGATTAGCTAGAAGAGAAGAAAGCTAGATTATTTTGAGAAAATACTTAACTTATTTTTATTTCTCAATTTTAGATTCGTAAGACTAGGATAATACAAGATTTATGGGTTAATATAAGAAAAGATAATCAACAACTAAATGCTTAACTGCATGAATGTCAAGGTGACAGGGGTACTAGAATATAATTGAGATTAGCTTTTTGATAGATATGAGAAATGGAAAAATAAAACACATGAAGAATGCTAGATAATATTTAATTTACAAAGACAAATTTTAGCATTACAGAATAATCTACCTAATATACAACAAATAGGAATGATAGGATACAGACCTCTAATATTTTATGGTTATCCTAAAGAGGATCTAGAAGATTGGCTTAGGGATATACAAAGATATATAATAGCTAGTCAAATAAATGTTGCATCTGGTGCAGATCAAGTTGTTAGAAGAAAAGAGGCATTTGGATTAGTAGTATCATATCTTGTAGGTAATGTATTGAATTTTATTTAACTCGCATCAAAGGCAAAAATTAGAGATGTAATAATTTCTCAGATAATTTAAGTATAGTAGACTTAAATGCTATTTGAGCAATAGGTATTAGAAATGGTGATAATCAAATTAGTGGTTTGAATACTACTAGAGAATTTCAAGGTAAGCAGGAACTGAAATTAGTAGAATTAGAGCAGAGGTCGTAACTGGCGTTAATATTATTCTGAATGAAAATTAGGATGAAGACTGGTCTATTGCAGGTGGTAAGCCTACAAATAATGCACCAGTGGTACCAAATGCTGAAGTTGGTCTTCCTGCTGTTACTATTACTCCTGGTATTAAGCTTGATCAACTTCTTTATCTGTTTAAAACTGCTTATACAACAGTTAAGTATTTAAAACAAATAGCAGTATTTGATCAACTTTTGCAGGGTGATTTGTCAGTTTGTCAGTTAAGCAATTTTCCACTAGAATTAAAAAGATTGGTAAATTAGCTGAAATAACTCTTAAACAGCAAAGAAGACAATTTATTCATGATCTGTCTCTGATGAATCAATACAATCTTTAAATGATGGCCAAATTTCATGATACTCAGAATAATATTACAGAAGCATTGGCTGAAGCAGAAAATTTTATATTATCTCAACAGAGTGCATCATCTTCTTTTCTAATTTTTCTGGCATCTGACCCTTATGTAGAAACTAATAGATCAAAATGACTAAAAATGAAATTGAGAGCTTAGTAAAAAAATACAATGGCATCCTCAGAACCTAACGGCTTCAATAAGTGGCTTTATCACAATTTCAATCACATCCTGCAGGAATGCATAAAAATTTACGAGATGAAAATATAGGTAGATTTTTATCATAGATTACAAGAGAAATCTCAGAATTTATTCTTGTTCCTAATCCTACTTTACTACCAAAGCTAAAGAAAAAGGTTGAAGTTGATTCTGATGATGAACTTGTTGAGCTTATAAAAAAACAGTTATACTTACATGTGGTTAAAGCGATTAAAAAAGCTATGAAAACATAACAGCAGTGCTTTAATTGTAACTGAACTAGACATAATTCTCGCAAATATACTTAAAAGAAGAAAAAGTCTAAGAAAGCTAAAGTTAATCTTGTTACTATAGATTCAGGTTTTGATTTAGATTCAGATTCTAACATCTCATCTAGTGATACATTATCTAGTGATAGTTCTGATTCCAACACAAGTTCTTCTGATTCTAGAGACGATATCACTGTTAATATTATTAAGTCAAAAAAAAATAAGACATAGTGGGAAAAAAGACTCTTATAGTAATAAAAGTTCTAAAATTGCGAAAAAGCTACGCAAAACAAAATAGGGGTCAGAAATGCTAAAACATGATCAGGAAAATAGTAATACTAATTCTTTTTTAACCAAAGCTGATCAGAAAACTATTCGCAAAATAGTTTAAAGTGAGCTTGGTTCTACTCTTGAGAAGAACTTAAAAAGATTCTCCCTCTGTATATGATTCAAGTTTTTTTGCTAGATACTAAGAAATCAGATCAGGGAAAAAATATCAAATCTAAAACCAATGATTTTTCATCTTTCTGAAAACCAGCTTCTGCAATACCTGACTCAGATGAAGAGAAAACTTTGAATGATTTGATAAAAATTGATTTCGTCTAGAGAAGGAAGCTGAAAATAAGTGTTGTAATAGTAAAGTGTAAAATCAAGCGCTTAAAGATTCCAGCTATGACAGTCCACTCTGGAACTGAGTCTTCTATCATAACAGAAAATATCATTGAATGTATGAAGGCTAAAATTAATAAATCTGAAACACATAATCTCAGCGGTATTACTACTATTCTAGTTGAATCTATTGAAGTTGTCCGCAATTTGCCTATTATTCTAGCCTCAGGTTGTACTATTCATGAAAATTTTATCATAGTGAAATATCACAAGCTGATGTTAATATTTTCCAACTAACTTTTAAAGAAATACAATTGCACAATAAATTGGAAAACTAATGAGCTAAAGATTCCTCTTAATGAAAAATACTATATTATTTCAGTCATCATGCATAAGGTCAAAAACAAGTTTGAGATGAATTGCGCAA